GAACTAACAACATAATTCAAGACGTGTTCAAAACTCCCTAAAACCAAAATATACTTATAACATCTCAACCAAGCAAATGATCTCACCAAGAAGATAATACTCTATCAATTCAAAAAATTATATATGTCAATATCTCTCTCACATCCTAAAAATCAAAGTTACATTTGACTTTTAATAGAAATAAAAGTATAATTTTGACTGGAACAATTAGAATCTTCTCACAACACGTTGTTAACAGTTATCTAGTTTCATGAATTTTACGGTGTTATTAATCCCAACACAGATGAGGGGGTCTACCTAAACACCCACCAAACTGGAGTTTAAGCCAAGTTAGTTTGCATATTGAATCGTTTATGCATAGAACTCTTGAAGACCCCTATAAACCCGAAGATTTGTACAAAACCCATAATGCCCTAAATATGGAAAACCGCACATCTGAGTCTTTTGCATTTATACGTAATTAGTTTATGACCATATCTTGTTTTAAGAATGCTGACCAAATCAAAAGCATTGAACCGGAAAAGCTAGTGTGAATGCATTCATTCTCTCTCTTTCATTTACTATCCTAAGGTGCTTAGTCAAAGCCAAGAGTTATTGTCCTATCTATTTATAGCTTCGACCCTTCGAGGGGACTCAGTCACTCACAAGTGTACTACCAGTCCCCAACAATCATTCAACCACCAAACTCCAAGAGACATGGCTAAGTCTTCGTTAACCTTCGCTTTTTTCTTGGTGCTCGCTCTTATTCTCTCTGGTGACTCCTGTTCCCTCTCTCTCTCTCTCTCTCTCTCTCCCCCCCCCCCCCCAACACGCACAAAGTTGTTTATTTTTGACCAATTAGTAAGTTGGGTGGTGTTTGGGTCTAGGATATGGTTTATTATTACTAAATATTTATCTGAAGTAATATTTCTTGCTGTGAAAGATTTACTTTAGATACAGAATAGTTGTATGGTTGAGAAAATTCTCTGAATAGTGATATGCATATCATTTTTGACAAGTTTTAAACTTTGTTGTATATTTTTTTCCCTTCAAATTTGTAGAATTAATTACCTATGTAAAAGAAAAGATGACTAATACAAGCAATATTATTGGCAGGTGGTAACCAGTTATTCGTGGGAGTGCCAAGAGCTTATGCAAGGGGACCATACAATTGTCCCAGAATGATTAATTGTACGTCAGTGTGTGAGGGGTTCCCAAATTGTTGTGTTGACGGCCAATGCATTTGCGAAAAGTGCCAAATAAGCTCGTCATCAAAGCTAAACTCAAATTCTAATCGTATACATAACAGTAATTGCTACAAGTCCCAATTGTGTTAGCAAAACTGAGAGAGAAGTTTCAACGTCATTTGCAATTTACACAGCTCAGAAATTTATAATGATCTTTGAAAGGTATGCTGAATGAGGGTGATTCTATATTTTTGGTGTATGTGTCTTTTTATTATTTTTGCTCAAACATAAGGTCCCATTTATAAAATAATTAACAAACACGATTGTGCCTTTTTTTCTCCTCCACACAGTTTTGTTTCCTGGGGGGAGAATAGTCTAAGGGGTTGAATACTCTATCGGATCCAGTGACAAATCAAGCATATCAAAGTTTTTTTTCTTTATCTTTTGGTAGGTAAATAAATTTTATTTTTGAAAAAAAAAAACAAAAACATTACAAGAAAGCTCAAGACACGCCCAAAGGGTACACGAGCAACCTCATAAGGAGGAGTTCTTCGCACCTAGCCCTCAGAGAATTTAAACATTACATCCACAAGCCTAGTTTCACAAAAGACCTCTTTCAAAGTGAGGTTGAACTCAAGAATGCCCCCAACAAAAGGGCTCACAAGCATATCAAAGTTAAGCGGAAATAAAGTTCTAAAAAATCTAGATCCATACTATGTTTTATGTTATTGTTCCTAATCAGCCTCATTTAATCGTAATTTAAATTTATTGAGTCTTGATCCGAAAGTTTCATTTTTGGGTAGAAATACTGCAAAGAATCGGCAGGGTGGCCCTTCCATGAAAGTTAAGATAAGGTGTTTTAAAGCTCTTATTTCGTCAAATGAGTGAGCTTGGTGCGAGATATTTGCACCAGTGGAAATCCATGGGATAGGGATGTGCCAACCACTTCTTGCCTCATTATTTCAAACTGTATTAATCACATAAACAAAGCATTTAAAGGTGCCAAGTCAAAGAAACAAACCTAAAGAAAAAAAATAGTTAGCAGTAATCACTATAAAGATTACTGAGCAAACTACAATAGCTTAGCTAATATGATGACTGGGGTACATATGGCTGCGGTGCAGCTTTACTTGAGCCAAATATCGTGAGCAACCCTCTTATATATCTTAAGGCGAGTATTGAACTTTATTATATATCTTGTTTTTTTCAATAATTTTTTTGTACATACTGAAAAAACATACGTAGCACACACCTTATATTGGGAGAACTGAGTTTCTGAATCATTGTGCTTGAAGCAATCTTGCCAGTATTTAACTTAATTATACTTTCGAGGCTCAGTCTATCATCATGTACTATAACAAAGGTAACTTATCTTTTATTCCAAAAATAATTAGTGAAAAACAAAGATAATAGCAGAAAGTGATTTACTCATTAGACTGATAGAAATCATTTTTCGTTCAATCATTTTCTAGGAAATTCAACAAATCGCACAACGATACGTGAGTTGAGTGTACACAATGAATTCATAGGTTTGTTTAAACTGAATTGGCAGCATCCATAGACATTAAATTTAAATAACTAGGAGCAACCCAAATAACTCCAAGAGCAACCCAAATAACTCCAATAATACCAAACTTCCAATGCCAGCTACATCCCAAATCAGTAGCATATCCAGTAATTCCATACTTCAAAACCGCAACAATAACACCAATTCCTTACCAAAATTTTAAACAAATCAACACTTTACCCTGAGCCAGAAAACCTCACCACCACCCCTGATCATCAAACACAACCCTTCTCTTCTTACGCAGAAACGGCAACCCCTTCTGATCATGACTCAAGGCCATTCCCACTTCGCAAGGCAAGCTCGCATCAACAGAAAAATCAACAGTCCTTCTAGTTTGTACAGCCTATCAGCCAGAAAGTTTGATTCTCTACAAACATGAACCAATCTATACTCTAATCTATTCAAAAAATCACTGATCCGTCTCATAAAAACCAAACAAGGCCAAGGACAATCATTAACCACCAAAACCGCATTAACCAACACCAAAGAGTCACACTCAATCTCAAAACTATAACAAGATAATCTATACTGCCTAATAAGTTGCAACCCATCACATAAGGCCCTGAACTCAGCAAGCATATTCGAACATTCCCCATAGTAAAAAGATGCAGCTAGGACCATTTTACCCCATTCATTCCTCACAACTGCCCTCCCCCACCTGCCACCCTTGGATTGCATGTGGACGCTCCATAAGTATTCAGCTTCAGCATACCAGAAGGAGGACATATCCATTTAACCCAAACACCCGACAAAACAATAGAACAAGAAAATTTAATTTTCAAAAAATCCAGCAGAACTTTCTCAGCAGCATCATCCTGAACCTTAGGCTTAATAACCCTCACTTGATAACGTAGGATACTACAAATCCTAACAAAAAAATAGAATTTTATTAGGATTCTCCATTTTCACTAGAAGGGGAATTTTAAATATTCAAGGATTCTCCACTGGATGAAAAATGGATAGTCAAGCTACTAAAAACACCTTATATGACCAAAGAAGGTAAAATGGATTGGCACATTTCCATCCAAGGCAATTTACTCCGAACAAAATGGTGCCCCATATCCTCAAAGGCAAGTTATCAGCATTACCGCTTATACAATTGTAACAAAAGAAAACTGCCTCGTCCATGAAAATTTTACATCCTTGTTGCCATTAAGTTGTACAAAAAAAATTTCCAACCAATTTAGTGACAAAAATGCATCAAGATAAGCATTTAATCATCAGAAGAGGGAAAGTCACTTAGGCGGGAATTCCGCTGCATGTTTATTAACATGCTGCAATTTCGCTCTCTTTTGTTGATGAACCTACATTTAATACAAATTAACACAAGAATTCCACATAAAACAATAAAAATGAACATATTTGTATTTCCAATAACACAAATTCAATTCAAACAGAAAACCCAACAAGCACAAAAAATCCATCAAACTCAAACCAAAAATAAAACCCAATAAGCAAAGATATTTAACGAACAAGAAAATATATTTTCCACACTAGACAACCTTTTTTAATCAAAACAACAAAATATCAACATAAAAGTACAGCTCAAGAACTAAACAGAAAAAAATATACTTTTTAATTTGTTAAAAAACACTCTACAGCTCAAGAACTAAACAGAAAAATATACATTTTAATTTGTTAAAAAACATCTAATACTATTGCATAGTTCCTCAATACCCTAAAACAGCACAAAGGTCAGTCACAAAAAATCCATCAAACTCATTCAAACCAAAGTAATTGCAACAAGATCAATATTAGTCAATAAACTCATGTAATATTTGAGCTACTATTCCATTTATTGACTCACCTGACCAAATGAAGATGCTCTAGAATGACCTCGAAACTCTATGTCTCATACTGCTAGACTTCTTGACTCACTCCTCATCGATGATCAATGAGAGTTTGTATTATGAGTACTAGATGCATCAGGTACCTTTTAAGATTGCAAATACTTAATATTCATGGTCCAAAACATAATATAAGTCGCTAAAGTTTTTATTACATTTTCAACCTGCGGAGGATATGTGTTTTTGCGAGCTGGTTCGGGATTAGGCATACCTATTGCACGCATTTGAACGAGAAAAAACCTCAAACTGTCTTTGTTGAGCCTCAAACTTAGCTTCCATCTGACTCATTTACTTCTCCATTTGTGCCTACTGAGCCTCCATCTCTAACTGCTTAGCTTCCGTCTCTAACTGGTTAGTCTCCATCTCTGCCTTATGTCTACTCAATTGCTCATCTTGTTGGGACTGCATTGCTTGCATCTCTTATGATTTGTTATGTCCAAACAATTCTCTTAGAGATGGTCCAAAACCATATGCTCTAACACATCCATGTCTCTCCGGTCCCGTGACTTGGGTGAAAACTTCATCTACTGCAGATGAAGATTGCATAGAAGACTCTGACGTTTGTGACACAAGTTCATCCATGTCTGACTGTAGCTAAAAATAATTTGAAATAAATATGAAACATAGGCGAAATAAGAATGGATAAATAGTGAACATCTTTCCTACCAATATTACATACTAAGGCTTGTGGAACAACATCATTAATTGGTCGTCCATCTTTCTTTGAATATGCAATCTTAAAAAATTGAATATGACTCAGTTTCTTCCCATTATTCTTTTTCTTTTCCTACAGTTAAAATATACACAATAAATAAACTTGAATAAAAGTCTTTTATAAAACACATTTGTTTTCTAACAAACCCTTTCCATAACACATGCAAAGCTTGATCGGTCAATGGTGTGATGAAATTTTTTCTTGCTCCAAATGAGTTTGTTCCTCTCATTTTTTCCCTATTACATGCCAAAAGCAATTATCATAAAATTTTGAAGAAAAGAGCAATGACTTCGTTTACAATTGAAAAGATTTACACTTGCATATTTGTACTTGTGCCTTCGGAGTACTCCAATAGTAGACCAAGGCCCACCAATGTGATTCCTCCACTCGGTCAGCTTGTGAGCTAATCTTTCTACATCAATTCTATGGGGATAATAAGCTTGTTTCTTAATCTCACACTTCCAATCTTTCCACTTCCTCCCTGTAGACTTCATCAGATATCCTTTCATCTATTCCTTTTGCATCAGTGTTTGCCTACAATTCGATTCAAAAACCACTAATAACATGCAAAAGCTATATACAATCACTTAGTAACTATAAAATAAATTCAAAAACTTTACACCTTTATTTCATCTCATATTCTTTCTTTATACTCCTTGGGAACAACACGCAACTCGTGCCAATTTAAGGGTGTCATGGTCCCATTTCGAGCTAGCATGCCTAAACAAGTTTGAAGTGGAGAAGCTTTTTCACCAATTGGTTGCTTTAATTCATTTTCCTCAATGTGTAGCACACAGCCGCCATGCGTCGAGGTAGGACCTCTAGTTCATCTCTATATAGAATTTGAGGAATTGGAACCTACACTTTAAAAAATTGTTAGGTGATTACAATATCATTTTTAGTGATAATTATTACTATCTATTCCTCCATTACTAAAATATACCGCCATCATTGCGTGACGTATTGCCATCATCGTCCTAGTGGTTGGCCACAAGATGGATGGTTGGTACTGAAACTTGAATTATAAATACTTAAATTACTAAACATATAATTGTATGAATAATATCAAATTGTGAGAAAAATATAATCTACAACCAAATAATGTATCTGGGAGTCTAGAAGTAGGGTGCCACCATGATGGTGGTTCTGGAATCATGTGCACATTCTCCACCATAGCAAACTGAACCATTTATGGATATACAAGAGTTTGGAAATGTGTCATCAAGATATAAACACTAAGCAATTTCATGATATTAAAAGAGAGCTTGACATTTTACATTGCAATGAAAATCCAAAACAATTAAATGTATAACGTCTCATGATATTAAAAAAAAAAATTAATATATCATTCATCATCATAACCATGAACTGTGACTCCAACAACACCTTGCTTAACCCAGTCCATGTCGTTGTCATCATAATCAATAGCAGTTTCATCTAAATCTTGTTGGCCATATTCTTGCACCTGGTTATGTTGCATCCTAGCATCTTGGTAGTTGTCCATTTACTTCAAATAAATCTCTAGGTTTCACCTTGATGATGATTTTCCAATCTTCTTCAATGGGATCTTGTACATAGAAGACTTGTTGTGCTTGAGATGCTAGGATGAATGGTTCATCAGAGATCAATCCCTTGGAGTAAAGCAAATTTCTAAAATTGACTAGTGTAAAAGCAAAGTCATCCCACTCAACAAAAACCCTATTGTTATCGACTCAATCACACTTAAATAATACATACTTACAGTTGTGTGAATAATATAATTCAACACTCCGTAATATGTAACATCTCCTTCCATGGGATGCATGTCTCTTGAACTAGCATAACTATGAGTACTTGCCTTTAGCATAACACCACTGTTTTGTGTGATACCTTGTACCACTGATAATGTACCCTGTGAACCCAGTGGCTTGCTTATATGGAGCCATAGCTAGTGTTATAATCTTATTAGAAAGTTGTATATTTCTTGCTGCTATTAACTTCTGCACCTATAGTAATGGAAATTTTGAATATTAAACACTAATACATAACATGTCACTTAACTTGAAGTTTTATGTAAATTTCTCGATGTTACATACATAGGATGCAAACCATATGTGAAATGTATTGTTGTGAATGCAATTGACTTCATGATCCCTCACACGGTGATTGAAAGCTCTAATAAAGGCATGATGTTCCCTGTGTAAAAGATTCTTGTTTGAATGCAATGAACATAAAGTCGGTTAACTATTCTAACACAATAACAAAAAATGGAACCATGTATTATTCTTGAAATAGGACAACTGCATGAGTGTTAATGAGCACATAGCGATAGGGATGTTGTCGTTCTATGTCACTGAGGGTGAACACTTTTCCATTTCCTAAGAGACGACGTCCTTGCCCGTCAAATGTGATATTACCATCATAATTCCTCACTCGTCGAAGTGATTTGGTCTCGAAATCATACAAATATCTTGAGCAAAATGTCATGCATTCTTCCACCAAGGATCCTAGTTCAACTCATATTCCTCACATATGATTTAAGTGTGTGCAAGCAAACAAATTTCACCTTCCAACAGGTTCAAGGCACTGGAACTACTACCCATAAAAGGCCATGAAGAGGAGGAACTTAGTGAGTTCGAGTCCCTAGAGCCTAGCATTATGTTATATAAGTTGAAAGCCATAGATGAGATTGAGAAGCTTATGAGCAATTTGACAAGGAAAAAGCAGAGGAAAACAAAAAGTAAGAATAAGTAGAAACCTATTGTTGAGTTGATTCCCAAGAAGGGTCTGGAACCCATTTCCTCTCGCCTCCCTCAATGATTAATCTCTTCTGCTAGAATGCAAGAGGGATTAATAGCCCCTTGAAGCAAGTTGAAGTTAGAAGAGAGATAAACCTATATGGAGTAGACTTATGTGGTCTTGTTGAAACAAAATAAGGAGCGAAAGGATCTTTAGCAGTATGTTGCCTGGGTGAAGTCTTATAAATAATAATAACTCATCCCTTAGAGGAAAAATATGGGTATGTTGGAAACCAGTTGTTGTAGATGTGAAACTGCTTGAGCAATCTAATCAAGTTGTACACTGTAGCATTGAGATCCTGGCCAACCATAACTTTTTCTTTGCCTCATTCGTTTATGCTCATAATGAGGCATATCTTAGAAAGCCTCTTTGGAATAACCTGATTTAGAGAGCCCAATCACTATGTCATAGTCCTTGGATTGTGCTAGGGGACTTTAATGTCATCAAATCATTCTCTGAGCAAACCGGAAGCTTCAGCATTAGAGACAAAGCCTCAGGTGATTTTTGTAACTGTCTTTTGAAAACTGAACTGGAGGACCTCAAGTACTCTGGCATTCAATATACCTGGTGTAACAGGCAGTTTGATGGGCGTATAATTGCTTGCAAACTGGACAGAGTGTTAGTAAATGAGGTATAGGGGAGAACTTTTCTTGCCACGAAGGCTGAGTTCCTTACCCCTAGAATTTTTTATCATTCTATTGCACTGGTAAGATTGGGAGCTAGACTTCCTAGGGTGAGGAGGTCCATTAAATTCTTTGATTTTTAGGCAAGGCATCAAGATTTTTTTCACACTATTTCGAGAGTTTGGAATACTCCACTGCGGGGCGATCCAATGTTCAAAGTATGTCAAAAATTGAAGTTACTAAAGAAAGAGCTAAATAAGATGAATTATAATGATCTTTGTGAAAGAGTTCTGGATGCCAAGCGAGCTCTTGAAGATATTCAAAAACTGACTGATAGAAATATGAATTATCAAGAAAGAGAAGCTCTAGCAATACATAGAGCTTAGGGAAACAGAGGAGAGCTTCTGAAAGCAAAAATCAAGGCTCTAGTGGCTAAACCTTGGTGATCAAAATTTTGTTTTTTTCTTTAAATCCATTAGCAAACAAAGAATCCATAGAAGTCTCACTTTTATTCAAAAAAAAAAGATGGAACTAGAATTGATGATTTGGAAGACATCAAGAAGGAGATGGTCTAGTATTACAAACTGTTGTTTGGCTTTCCCTCTCCCCTATTTGGTTTGAACATGCAATGGGTGAGAAGTTTCATCTGTAACAGCATCGCACAAGCACAAGCACAAGCAGACTCTATGGTGCAGAATGTCACAAGAGAAGAAGTCAAGCAAACCATGTTCTCTATGAAAGATGGCAAAGCCACCGGTCCAGATGGCTACCCTGCTTGTTTTTTTAAGAAGGCTTGGCATATTGTTGGGAACGAAGTAACATATGTCGTCCTCTCATTTTTTAGTTCTGGGACATTATTGAAAGAGGCGAACTCTACCATTATTTCCCTTGTCCCAAAAGTTCCCAGCCCCATAAAATTATTTAACTATAGACCCATATTAGGCTGTTCAACCATCTACAAGTGTATCTCGAAGATTATAGCTAACAGAGTTAAAAGTGGTTCTCCTTTAGCTTATTGATAGATCTCAGTCTGCATTCATTAAAAATAGAAACATTTCAGATAATATATTGCTCTTCCAAGAACTCCTCAGGACCTATCACTCTAATACAAACAACCCAACATGTACTATGAAAGTTGATATCATGAAAGCTTGTGATAATGTTAGATGGCATTTTATCCTAGCTATATTATGTCATACGGGATTTCCTATGAAAGTCATTAGGTGGATTGAGACATGCACTACTTCTCCTACGTATTCAGTTAGCATCAATGGTGAACTTAATGGATATTTTGCAAGTAGAAAAGGACTTAGGCAAGGGGATGCATTGTCCCCTTACCTCTTTGTTATCCTTATGGAAGCTTTCTCTGGTTTGATGAAAATGGCTACTCAACTGGGTAAGTTTACTTATCATTGGAGATGTAGTAAGGAGTGGATATCTCGTCTTTGTTTTGCTAATGACCTTATGATTTTCAAAAAAGGAAAATTGAGTCAATTAGAGCCATCGAGGAAGTGTTGTTGGCTTTTGAAGAGTTCTATGGACTAAAGCCAAGCCCTAATAAAAGCCGCATCTTTTTTCCTGGAGTCAATGATGCTACAAAAATTGACATTCTTCAGGAACTTGGATATAGTGAAGGAGAATTGCCAATTGGATATCTTGGGATGCCACTCATAACCACAAAGCTTAGGGTCATTAATTGTTAAGCTCTTGTTAAAACATCACTGGTAGAATGAATTCATGGAATTGCAATTTTA